GGTCCAAGTTTAATAACATTGGTTTAAGCTCCCAAAACAAAGCTTAAGTTCGCTGCCAGGAAAAAAGTTCCTCTTTGAAGAGAGGGCTTAAGCGCCCTCATATAAAAACTGCCACTGTATCAGAGGGCTCAAGCGCCCCGAATGTACCAACTTAGGCCGATTTAATTATCCACCTAGGGCATCGATTCTTTGCCCTTAAAAACACAAGTCGGGGCAAAATTACATACTTTTCATATTCTTAGAGAATTCTTGGTACTTGGAGTCAGAGAAAACGCGGAGAAACAATCAGTTCATGTTCGTGAGAGGCGGAGACGGATCGGGATCAAGTCTGCACTGGAATTATTGAAGAATTCACCCTTCTAAAATGGGATTTGGGGAAGCTTTCTTAATTTCTTTCTTCCTTGATTTCGCCATGTCCGACTAAGTTTTCATAGTAGTTGGGGTTAAATGGAACTCGATTTATTTATTATGCTTTAAATAATTCTTTGCGTTAATTTTCCTTTTTATCATGAATGAAATTGTCTGTTATGAGCTTGAATGTTGTAAATTGATCCTAGGTAATTGTATGACAATAGAAATGTTGTTGCATGATCTGTATCTGGCAATTTCATCGTAATCCTTATGATTCTAGGGATAGACATAGGGTTTTGTGCAGTCTTAAGATTCTTGAACGTAATGCTTACTTTTTTGGAGAATAGCCGGAGAACTATGGCTCTTGCAAGATTGTGAAGATTTAGGATGTCAAGGGATTAAGTCCTAATTAAATTAAAAGAATTGACTGAATTGATATTAAGGACGATTAATTTAAAGAAGGAACTCAAACATAATAGAGAGGTTGAAGGAAATCGAAGCCCTAGCTACGTTATTTTCTATTAAGTAAATTCAAATTTTTAAATTCTTGATTTTATTCTTGTTCTTAATTAGTTTTAGTAGTTTAATTTTCAAATCAAATCCTGTTACAAATTCAAATTCGATTGTCCAACTTAAGTCGAAGTAGTGAACAAGTGATTGAATTTTAATCCTCATAGGAACGATCTCTTACTCAAAAATTATATTACTTGTACAACCGGTGCACTTGCCGTTAGGAAAATTAATATTACTTGTACACCGGTACTGATATTTTTCTACTACTACATTTGTTTAAAGGGCATACAGAATTTCAACTACCGTGATCCTATCCTATGATGCACGGACACTGACACGGGACACGACACGGCACTCCGACACGTTAATTCTAAAAAATGCTAAATTTAGACAAGTTGGGACACGTTTTGATATTAAATAATATTTTTAATATATATAATATAATTTACATTTAATACATATAACAACTCATAATAAATAACTCATATACTAATCAAATATTCAAATTTGATAATATAAATATTAAGAAAAAATATAGAACATCCCGTGTATAAAATATTAAGAAAGGGCATAAAGGGTTATGAACTTTGGTCTTTCCGAATAGGTCAAGGTAATGAAGATATTCAAGCACATGAGCACCACTGCATAAGGCCATAGAAAGTGGTGGTATATGGTTCCTCAGATACTCGGCAGAAAGTGTTCCAATCTCGCCTCTTTTGGTTCTCATAACGGTTTGGTGTGTTGTTGTTCGCTGAAGATGAAGATGAGGCTGTGGTGAGATCAGTGGTTGAGGATGATACAACAAGGATCTCATTATCGTAGTTGCTACTGTTGTTTGCTGATTCAGAAATCAAATCTACTGGGGAATATTGAAGATCTGAAGCTTCTTCTTTAAACCCTTGTTGTTGCTTTAGAATATTTGCGTTAGATCTTGAGAATGGTGAGATTAATTTGTGATGATGATGATATTTGTAAAAAATAATAGAACATCCCACGACGACGACCGACGACGAAAGAAGAGAAGGACCAAGCGACCAGCAGCCTCCAGCGCAGAGGATAGGGTTTCAGATTTTTATTAAATATTTTTGATTTTTTTTAATTGTAATTTTATTTCTTTTTTACAAAAAAAAAAAAATGCAAAACGTGTCCACATACGTTGACTGTGTGTCGGATTCGGTCAAACTCGCGTGTCCCATTAGTCAACGTGTCCCAAAAAGTCAACCGCGTGTCGGACACGTGTACGAATGTGTCTGTGTCCAACACGTGTCGGACACGCATTTTTTCAAAAAAAAAAACGTGTCCGTGTTTCACATATCCTATCAAAGTTGTTCAAATCTCTAATCATATCAAATATGATCACATGCCCATTATATACTACGAAAATATTTTCGGTGCTTAAGTTAAAACGAGTACTCGATGCATCATTTATAAAAAAAAATTATTTTTTCAAGCAAAGGATTAGATACTCTCTTTTACCGAAACGGAGCTGTATTCTAAGGTCTTTTCCATAATATTACATTATTAATTACCCATAACAAAACTTCTTTGCCCTCTTCAAAGACAAATCGTTTAGTTACTACTTACTAATAACAAAGAAACAAATAATTAACAATCCAGTTTACCTCTTTTTTTCTTAAGGAATTACTATTTTTTTTTTTTTTTTGATACAATACTATTTTTTTATATTATATGACATAATTTTATTTCCTACACACATATAAAAAAATTAAATCCCTTGTGGAGTCATATAAAGAGAAGAGGGAGAAAAAAAATGATTCTACATACTTTTATGTGATATAAGAGATAAAATTATCTCATAAAATATAAAAAATATTAATTTTTTTTTAAATATCATTCTTTATTCCCAAACCAAGGGCATTCGGCGTAATAGAGAAAAATAATTGATTTGAGACGGGATGCCCTGTTCTATGAAATAAAGAAGCAGAACCTCCGTGCCATGGCCTTTTAAGTCTGTGTTGACTTTTGACAATTTGGTGTTGATTTTTCGATTAACCCAATTAAAATATAAGAAATGTGTATATTATTTTAACGGAGGTAAAGTTATATTATTTTAAGTGAGAGAAAAAATAAATCATAAAAGAGAGACTGAATAAAAAAAAAATGTGAGTCTCATTTCTCTATGAGAATGAAATGACACAAATTGTATAATTTAAAACAAATTCCATACTCTAGCCGGTAGTGGGACCAAGGTAGAGCTTGGCCCTAAGGGAGGCTCCGTGTGTCTTAAGACCCTCTCTTACATGGTCTTGTTTATAGCAGAAAAATTAGATATACTTTTTCTGCAATAGGATAAAAAGATTTTCCTTACAATATTTAATTAGAGGTATTTTTAGTTTTTGACTTTGTAATTGGGGCATTTTTGATATTTTATTTTAAGGGTATTTTTAATATGTTGTAAAATAAGAATATTATTGGTATCCAGGGTTTAGGTGACATATATGGTAAGCACGTCAGGAAAGTTACAAAATCATCACTTAATTGATTCATTAATAAGTAAAATTTCCTCACATATTATAATCATATTAAATAACAAATGAGATTATCTATTTTCAAAACGACATATATAAAAAGATAAAAGTTATAATCACAATGGATAAAAGTGAAGTTTACCCTCTCATCTTTTATTGGTAATGTCTTAAAAATCGAAATTAAGATTGAATTACAAGACTTTTAATTATAGTTCAATTGATTTTGTAATTGAATGGGATTAAATCGAATAATATGACTAGGAACAATAAGTTCCAAGACATATCCAGTTCACGTTCTGATCAATTTTTTTTTTCAAATTATATAAATTTGAGGTCTATTTTTTTTTTTCTGTCTCTTAAACTTTTCACCTATTCTAAATACGTGAGCACGTTATTTATTTATTTTTTATTTTTTTAACTTCTACTTGTTTTTTGCTTCAGTTGATTATATCTGGTAAATGTTATGTGGGACAGTGTGGAACTATGGATACATTTCCACGCAATAAGAGCCTTGAATATTGAGTCAGTCTATTGTGGCGAACTGCCGGTGGCTACTAGACCGGTTTTTCCACGTTGCTGTCTAACAGACTACGCGGTTATCATAAGCAATTACCAAGAAAGATTCAGTTTCTCGGAACAGAGATCAACGTGTTACGGTAAATTTTTTATTCAAATAACAAATGAATAATATTTTTTGTCAGATTATTACGCCACATAATTTGTTATGACTGGTAATAAATTTTATTATTCATGATTTTGTGACACATTATCCCATTATGTATCAAATTCGTTAACATTAGTAACGAATTTTATCTAGTCAATTTTTTTCTATAAAAACGTATTACGTGTCACAAAATTATTGACGAACGTAATTTACTAGTGATTATAACGAATTATTTCAGTGAAAGAATGATAAAAAATACTATTTCTCAATATCAATCGTTACATATTCTACTATTTTTCTTTTATATATTTTCCTATTTTAGTAACGTCTGTCATTACAGTTTTTAAATTTAAATCATTTTTAATATTATATTTGAAATCAAACTTATTTAATAATTATAAGTATCCAATTATTCCCAGATTATTAAAAAAAAAAAATAACAAATAAAAAATAAAAAAAAAATTTAAAAATGACTATTTTTACATGGCCCAAACGCCAAAACTATTCAAGGAAAGAAGCAAAAGGCATTTCAAAGAATATAAAAGTACGATTTCCAATAAATACTTCTGTTCCCTTTTATTTGGAATTTTCCCTTTAGATTTTTTTTCAGCGAGCGGCGGAGCACCTTCTAGGGTCCTCTCCTTTCTTTGAACAAAAAAAAAAAATACTAATAATTTAACATTTAATTAATAAAAGTAATAGTTGTTGTCATCTTTATTGACATTTTAAAAAATAAATTTAATATTTCACATGTCGTATAAAACAAGTTTTGGTTAAAATCACAAGAAATATCTTTATGACGGAAGAAACAATTAAATATACATTCAATTAAAACTTCTATTTTGAATAGTATCAAGAGTAAAAGAACAACTTGGTGTCAATAACTTAAAAGGCGTGGGGCGAGCTGGTGTCTCTGCTGCATTCATATTTATATAAACACAGTAACCTTCCCCAAATTCAGAGATCTCAAACGAATTAAGTGAATCTCTCTCTCTCTCTCTCAAGGATGATGATGGGTTCCCCTGTCGTTGAACACGTTTCAGAATGCTTCATCAAGCCGCAGCGCCCCAATGAAGAATCAAACAAAATCTGTTATTTAGCACCTTGGGATATTCTTATGCTGTCTACACACTACATCCAGAAGGGCCTCCTCTTCAAGAAACCTTCATCCCCACATAACCAACAAGATTTCATCCAGAATCTGTTGAATAAGCTCAAGCACTCCCTTTCTCTCACCCTCATCCATTTCTATCCATTGGCTGGTCGCCTAGTTACCCGCAAAACCCAAGACCCTCCCTCTCATGCTATTTTCGTTGATTGCAGTAACAGTCCCGGTGCTCGATTTATCTATGCAACTTTGGACATGACCATATCTGACATCCTCTCCCCCGTTGATGTTCCACCCATTGTTCAGTCATTGTTTGACCACCACAAAGCAGTCAACCATGATGGTCACACCATGCCCTTGTTGACCATCCAAGTCACTGAATTAGTTGATGGTGTTTTCCTAGGTTGCTCCATGAACCACACTATTGGTGATGGGGCTTCGTATTGGAATTTCTTCAATACATGGTCTGAGATTTTTCAAACTCAAGGGGATGATATTGATGTTCCCATTTCACGCCAACCCATTCACAATCGCTTGTTTCCTGAGGGTTGTGGTCCGTTAATCAATCTTCCCTTCAAACATCATGACGAGTTTATTAAAAGATCTGAAGCACCCGAGCTCAGAGAGAGAATGTTCCACTTTTCAGCAGAGTCTATAGCAAAACTGAAAGCAAAGGCTAACTCAGAGTACAATACCAACAAAATATCTTCATTCCAATCATTATCAGCACATGTTTGGAGATCCATAACACGTGCGCGCCGCGTACCATATGATCAGAGAACAACTTGCAAGTTGGCGACAAACAACCGATCGAGAATGGAGCCGCCTGTGCCGGAGGAATACTTTGGGAACTTAATTCATGCAGTGAGTGCAGAAGCGACGGCAGGGGAATTGCTCGAGAATGATCTTGGTTGGGCAGCGTGGAAGGTGCACATGGCTGTTGCAAACCATAACGACGGAGTGGTGCGGGAACTTGTTAAAGAGTGGTTAAAGTCTCCTTTCATCTATCAAATGGGTCTGTTCGTTGACCCCTACACTGTGCTGATGGGTAGTTCGCCGAGGTTCAACATGTACGGCAATGAATTTGGAATGGGGAAAGCGGTGGCACTCAGAAGTGGGTATGCCAACAAAATTGATGGGAAAACGACATCGTATCCGGGTCATGAAGGAGGAGGAAGCATAGATTTGGAAGTGTGCCTTTCGCCAGATACAATGAACTTGCTGGAATCAGATCAGGAATTCATGACTGCTGTATCAGTGTCCAATCCTCGGTGCTAGTTTGTATTATAAACTCTTCAATAATGATTATTATATCAATCTCGAGTTCTAAAAAATTAATCTGTTTGAAATAGAACACGGGTACTTTAATCTGCCAAGCTTTTTGTCGTTGATATCATTTTATTTTATTTTTGGAATAAAACATCCCAAGCTTTAAATGTTTCTGCCAATGAATTGTCTCTCAAAATTCGTTAATTTCTTTAACTCTGCACCCATTTTAGTAAACCCGAAACCGTGAACGCTCAGTTGAAGTATTGGATTATTGGATCACCCATTCAAGTAGCCGGTTATTAATTGAATCGTATGACATGGATAGATAGATATAAATTCTATGTTATTTATCGAAATTCATGATTATGTCTATTGAGAATTATCCGAAATTCTATTTTACACAATGTTCGAACTAAATTGCAAAACAAGACATTGACCTAGGAGAGGATATCGTCATCTTCTAGTAGTCTCCTCATTAAATGGTCAATTTATTGAAAGGGCAATTACAAAATTTTCATAACTATAAGACTATTGCATTTTTTGTAATTTATTTTTCGAGCTTAGGCCTTACCTAATTTAAAAAAAAAAAAAAAAGAATAAAAACATTATCATTCGGGTCATTATTAAAAAATAAAATTAATATTATTTTTCAAATTTTAAATTAACTCTTCCTCCTTGCCTCCTTTGTTTTCAAATTTCAATCTGACTTAGCAGTTTCACTCTTCATTTAAATTTCATCTTTCTTAAGTTTAAATGTTTAATCATGTTTCTTTTATGTGTGCTTGATATCTGCATATGTGAATGTTTGATCATTGCTTTAAAAATAATATCGTTTCGCTTTATTTTACTTTTTAAAAAAATGCATGACCATATGGGATTAAATAAAACAGGATCATTGATTTTGTGATAGGTGTTAATGTCTTCTTCGAGGGAAAACAACCTCCTTCAACCACAAGGGTTCTGAATAATTTTCTATATCTTTATTTATGAAAGTAACCTGCCTTTATAGGCTTACAACAACTCATGCAAAGGGAAATGCATACACCAATAACAGAAAATGCAAGCAAACGCTGGCATGTGTAGACGAATCGAGAAACCGAATTTATCTATACCAGCTAATACCCTTTAACAACAACTTCCTAACAGACTCTTCCATCCTCTGATGACTCACTCCTTAAATCATAAAATCCTTAAGCCACTTGGGCCTTATTTTGTTCCTTCTAGACCAACGGGTCTTTGGGCTTACTTGATGCTCCATTGTTTGATCGTCCCAGCACATATCTCCCTCTTCTTGATTAGCATCTTCTCTTATTATGGGTTCAGACAGTCGATTCATATCATCCGCTTTCCCTTTGACAAACACCTTGCCCTCAAGGTGTAAATTTGGATAAGAAGCCAATATGTCCTCCAAAGATTCCCAAGAAGCATCCTCGGGAAACAGCCCTTCCCACTGTATCAGAACACGGTCCTGGTCAGCAAGTGCAGATGTTGTCGTATCCAAAACTGCCAACGGCTGGATGACAGGGTGATTCAATAAATCCAGTGGGGGTAGTGGAAGTGGTCGGTCGTTACCATCCGGGTGAAATGGTTTGAGTAAAGAAGCATGGAAGACTGGGTGTATTTTGCTACCAGTTGGCAGCTCCAGTTCAAAAGCAACAGAACCAATACACTTAATAATTTTAAAAGGGCCATAGTACCTCTTGGACAGCTTGTGACTACTCCTCTGTGCCACTTATTGTTGTTTGTACGGTTTCAGGCGAACCAGAACAAGGTCACCCAACTGGAAAGAGTGTTCTTGTCGATGCTTATCAGCAGCCTGTTTCATGATACCTTGAGCTTTGGGGAGTTTTTGTTTCAGTATAGCTAACATGGTGTCCCTGTCAGTCAATCCAGTATTTACCGCTTCAAGGCTGCTAGAACCCGTCACGTAGTGAGGAATGGAAGGCGGTGTGCGTCCAAAAACCACCTGAAATGGAGAGATCCCTGTAGCCGAATGGACAGAAGTATTGTAACACCACTCTGCCCATGGAAGGAAGCGACCCCAGGACTTCGGTTTCTCATGAGTGAAGGCTCGTACGTACTGTTGTAACACCCGATTTAGGACCCCGGTTTGTCCATCACTTTGTGGGTGATAGGCTGTGGACATCCGAAGCTTAGTGCCACTCATCCTGAAGAGCGCCTGCCAAAAATGGTTCATAAAAATCGGATCACGATCCGATATAATGCTCTTAGGAAAACCATATAGACGACAGATCATCTCATTGAATAAGTGAGCCACTTTCGCAGCAGTATAGTGTGAGGGCAACATACCAAAGTGGGCGGCCTTGGAGAATCGATCGACCACTACCAGTATGGTTGTGAAGCTTTGGAATGAAGGTAGCCTTACTATAAAGTCCATGGCTATATCTTCCCATACCTCCGACGGAATTGGAATTGGTTGTAGCAGGCCTACTGGGCGTGTAGTAGGAACTTTAATTTGTTGACATGTAAGACACCTTTGTACAAACTTTGCAACATCTTTCTGCATGCCATGCCAAAAGAAATTAGCACTGAGTCGAGCATAAGTCTTTTTAACCCCCATATGACCCCCGAATGGTGAAGCATGGAATTCCTCCAAGAGAAGGTGCTTAAAGGCCGAATTAGCCCCTACAAAAATGCGACCATGAAAGAACAGTAGCCCATTCACCACTGAAAAACCCGGATTGGAGCTCGAGTCACGTTCCAAATCTGCCAGAAGTTGACTCAACTGTGAATCAGAATGAAGTTCCTCTTTGAGTTTAGCTATAACCTCAAACTGAGGTACAGATAATGCACACATCTGGGGCCCCACGTCAAACACCCTTGAAAGAGCGTCCGCAACTTTGTTTTCTAGACCGAGTTTGTACACAATCTCATAGTCGTACCCCAACAACTTGGAAAGGTAACAGTGCTGATCTGGAGTCTGAATAACCTGTGACATGAGTTCCTTCAAACTCCTTTGGTCCGTGTGAATTGTAAATTTCCGACCAAGAAGATAATGTCGCTATTTTTTGATGGCCTCAACAATAGCGTGCAACTCACGAACGTAAGTGGACGACGATTGCAGCTTCCCACAAAATGTTTTACTAAAATAGTCGATTGGGTGACCATGCTGTAACAGCACAGCGCCCATACTACTAACCGATGCATCAGTCTCCAAGGTGAACGGAACAGAGAAGTCAGGCAGTGCTAAGACAGGAGTATTCGTCATAGCCAATTTCAATTGATCAAAAGCTTCCTGAACAGCCGGGGACCACACAAACGCATCTTTTTTCAGCAAATCCATTAGAGGAGCAGCAATGGAAGCATAGCGGTGGACGAACCGTCGGTAAAAGCCCGTTAATCCCAAAGACCCACGTAATTGTTTGATGGAAGCAGGACACGGCCAAGCCACCATGGCTCTGATTTTTTCAGGGTCGGGTCCAACGCCATCAATTGAAATGATATGCCCCAAATATTCCAACGAGTGCTGGGAAAAAGAACATTTGGATTTTTTTTAGGAATAATTGGTTGTGCAGCAACTGATTGAAAGTCTCCTCCAAGTGAGTGACATGTTCGTCCAGGGACTTGCTAAAAACCAAAATATCGTCAAAAAACACAATAATGAAACGACGAAGAAAAGGTTTAAATACAGAGTTCATAGTCGCCTGGAATGTGGCCGGAGCGTTGCAAAGCCCAAAAGGCATGACGAGGTACTCGAAGTGTCCTTCGTGTGTCTGAAAAGCTATTTTGGGGATGTCACTTGAATCCATACGTATCTGGTGGTACCCAGAACGTAGATCCAACTTGGAGAAGCAACAAGCGCCATGGAGTTCATCAATGAGCTCGTCGACCGTCGAAATAGGGAAACGGTCACGCTGTGTAATAGCGTTGAGAGCTCGATAGTCGGTGCAAAAATGCCAGGACCCATCTTTTTTTCGGACTAGCAAAACCGGAGAAGAAAAAGGGCTCGTGCTATCGCGGACAATTCCGGCTGCCAGCATTTCTGAAGTAACGCACTCAATCTTTTTTTTCTGGAAATAGGGGTAGCGATACGGACGAACATTCACCGCTTGACTCCCCTCCAACAAAGGGATTCGGTGGTCAGTGGGACGAGGAGGAGGAAGTTGAGAAGGAGAATCAAAAAGCATAATGAAACGAGAAAGGAGTGCGTCAATCACCTGAGGAATCGGAGCACTAAAAGGTGTAGACGGCGGAGAGGGCACCATCTGCAGCTGAAACAACTCAGATATGGAGCTGGTGGACACCATTCTACGCAACTGGGCCAACGAAGCTTCTTGGGCCGAAAATGCAGAGTTGCCTTGCATAGTAACAATCTGCCCACCCTTAACAAATTTCATTGTGAGATGGTCATAGTCTGTGAGAATGGGCCCAAGGGTTTTGAGCCATTGGACGCCCAATACAAGGTCAGCACTAGATATGGGTAAGACGAAAAAATCCACCAGAAATTCGTGCTCCCCTAGGAATAGATGAACCGCTTTGCACAAGGACGTGCAGTCCAACTATTCACCGTTTCCCACTAAGACTTGGAAGCCTTGGGGCCTTGTGTAAAGGGAGGCCCAAAAACTTGACAATACGGGGTTGAACGAAGTTGTGGGTGCTTCCACTGTCGATAAGGATGGACAACTGGACCTTACCAATGCGGCCCTGCACCCATAACGTTTGTGGAACCGAATGGCCCAGAAAGGCATGAAAGCTGATTTGAGCAGAATCAGATCCCACGCTCACTTCTGGCAGAGGCTCCTGAGGAGATTGCAACCCAGATTCTTCCTCGAGCAAATGATGCATGTCCACGATCTCGTCGGATTCTGGTGCGACAATTAAAAGCATGAGGGAACGTTTGCAACGGTGAGTGGGATGATATTTCTCATTGCAATTATAGCACAATCCTTTGTCACGACGAACTTGGAGCTCTTCTGGGGACAGACGTTGGATCCTAGGTTTGGGGCTTTGGCCAAATCTAGATATCGTGGGGGTTGTGGGAGCTGAAGCCGACGAGGTACCCGGAGAGAGGGACGCGGTGACCAGCGGCGCGCGAGAAGCACCTCCTTGTAGCCATGACGACGAAGGGGAAAATTTAGAGCGAGAGGCGATGCGCTGGTCGCTCAACTTGTCCTCTTGAAGACGAGCCAAACCAACGGCTTGAGCCAGAGACATCGGTTGGAGCGCCTGGACTTCACGCCTAATATCTGGTTTGAGACCAGAGTGAAGTAGCTTAACAGGTAAGGGGAGGGCACACCAACGCAACGATTGGCCAAGGTTTCAAACTGAGACTGGAACTCGCGAACCGAAGCCGTCTGCAACAATTTCATGAGATCGCCCTTAGGATCCTCATATTGAGAAGGGGCGAAGCGGAGTTCCAATGCATGCAACAACGCCTGCGAAGAAGTGATTTGGCCATTGGAGAACATCCACTGATACCAGGCTAGAGCCTCACCTTCCATGTAGAAAGAGGCAATCCGAGGTCGTTGAGGGTCAGGGGTGCCATGGAATTCGAAAAATTGGGAGATCTTGAAGACCCACCCTAACGGATCTGAACCATCGAACCGAGGAACATCAAGCTTGATGGTAGCCGCTTTGATTTCTGACGGAATCGTGGTGCTGACAGGTCCGGCAGACGATTTCGCCGTGTGAGGTGGCTGAGTCGTTGCGCGTGATTCCAGAAATGTCACTTTTTGTGCGATGGACTGAAAGTCCCGTTGAAGAGTGAGCTGAGATTATAGCAATTTAGCTAAGGTGGTTTCGAGTTGTTATGGGGGATTGGGGATTCCGGCCATGGTGGTGGCAGACTCAATGAAAGCGCCAATGATAGGTGTTAATGTCTTCTTCGAGGGAAAACAGCCTCCTTCAACCACAGGGTTCTGAATAATTTTCTATATCTTTATTTATGAAAGTAACCTGCCTTTATAGGTTTACAACAACTCACGAAAAGGGAAATGCATACACCAATAACAGAAAATGCAAGCAAACGCTGGCATGTGTAGACGAATCTAGAAACAAAATTTATCTATACCAGCTAATACCCTCTAACAACAACTTCCTAACAGACTCTTCCATCCTCTGATGACTCACTCCTTAAATCATAAAATCCTTAAGCCATTTGGGCCTTATTTTGTTCCCTCTAGACCAACGGGTCTTTGGGCTTACTTGATGCTCCATTGTTTGATTGTAACACCCCGTATATATCCGGTAGTGTTATCATTACATCGTATTAAGCGGTACTTAATTAAAAATGCGGAATATTCTTTTTCTTTTCAATTATGACGTCATTATTAATTATCATCTTGATTACTTAATCAATTTCATAAAATATCGCCTGTATGTAAATTGCAATAAGACATCTACTGAAATACCTCAATATATAAATAAAGTGTGTATCTAAATCACGACATTACATCTCGTAATCCGGACAATATCCTGATACATTATTATAACTCCCAAAAGACTCATGACGAAACAATACTATGTGTCATGGACAATCCCCATGCTCACCAAATAAACAGCGTAAACAACAAGTCTTAACATAAAACTCCATAAACATGAACTGAAGCTATAAGCATATAAGCAGCATGCAATTCCAGCATCCAACATGTCAGCATAAATAACAGCAAATCTAACTCAGCTCCGGCCTCCTGCCGCCTGAGGTCTCAACATTACCTGATCCTGAAATAAGCATTCTCCAAACGTGGGGTGAGATCTCTAAACCAGAAATCTCAGTAAGACAAGGGGTCCTCAAGGATCTTCCACCCCAAGCTCACTTACATGTGCAATATAAGTTCTAAAAGCATTTATATCAATATCAGTTCCAAAACTATGTAGTGCAACAGATATCTATGGCATATGTGTTTATCACTATCTACTGGCCAGAGAAATGCAGGAATACGTCTATACCTACATGTAGTACAAGGAACACCGCTTGTACCTCACCCACAGCCTCACCCTATTGTATGTTCTACATACTCAGGCTTACTGTATAGGTGGAACACCTCCATGCATATCAACAAGGCACTAACGTACAATAGCTCAACAGCATTTCCAAAACATCAAAAGCATGTGACACAACATGCATATACCATACCCCCATGGGACATGGTGGAACCACAATATGGCTAAACCGAGGACACGAAAGCTTACCTTGCAAGCTCACTATCCAATGCCAAGAGTCCTCACAGCTGAAGTCCAACACACAGCAGATCACAATCTGATTTAGGACCAGCAAGTGTATCAACATACATAACTCAAAAGCATTAACATAAAGACTACGTTCTCCTTAACGATTTACGTCTTAAGGCTTCCAACAAAGCCACAAGCCCTTAATCACATGATTCTGACTTAGTTCATTAATTACAGAAGTTCAACTTCAGCAATCTAGGGTCCACAAACCCCCAATAGCCTATTGTCCTCACAGCACAGCTACTGTTCTTCGAAATCCCAGAATATCCGGATATTCCTCGGGTACATATCCGGATATGCAATATCCGGATATCCCACTGTGCATATCCGGATATCCAGAATCTCATATCCGGATATCACATATCTGGATACCATATCCGGATATCCAATATCCGGATATTCCACAGACAGATATCCGGATATTTCACGACAGAATGCAGAAACTGCATTTCGTGAAGATATCCTTCAAAGGTTGGGTTTTTACCGATTTTAAACACTTAAACATGCATTTCTAGGTGTGTTTGACATTACCCAACGTTAAGTTATCATATTTTAGTCTTAACATGCATCAAGCTTCCATTTTTAAGCATAAAACTCAAGTTCCAAGGTGGTGATCATACCACAAGCTAAAAACAGGGGATGGAGGTGCTCTTGGAGCTCACACAACAGCTTCAAGGTTCTGACTTGGCCCAAGCACGAAAATGATGCACAAGGTGGCTCTTTTACTCAACAAGGAAGCTCCTTGAAGGTTCAAAACACCAAGAGCAAGATGACTCTTCTTCAACTCTCAAACTCAGAACCTAAACCTCACAAGCAGCAGCTCAAACACTCAGAAAATGGTACCTTTCTCCCTCACCAAGCTCACACTCAAGTGTTTACAAGAGAAAAAGTGAAGGAAATCAAGAAAAGAAGTAACTTGACCACAAAATGTAGAAGAAACTCAAGGAGGAAGCCTCAGCTGGTCAGCCTCCCTAATTCACACACTGGAATATCTGTTATCTAGGGCAATGTGCCCTTAATGAGGTATATATAGCCCACTTAAAGATTAACACGCAGTATTAGCTTTAATTTCTACGCTTAGCATTTTGATCCCAAACTTTGGAACCTGAAACTACACATTTTTCCAAGAATTATCATATTTTTATAATATTTTTCGGAACAACTTTCTGGTACGCGCTTTTCATAGGCAGTATCAGTTTCTGGCACCAGTTCTCATTATTTGGACTTGAAACTCGTTTTACAAGTCCTACATATTATTCTAGTAATTATCATGCACTTACATTAATTTTCCGGGATACTTTTTCGGTACGCATTTATACCGACTAGCAGAATCGGTATCTGCATTTTTCTTCCGAAAAGCGACTTTCAGCATTCTTAATCACTTACTATAATTATTAGAGCCTCAATATAATTATTAGGGTCAATTATGTAATCATTTCCTAATTTTGCATAATTAATTAAGTAAATACCTTAATTAACGGTGCGGGTTCTTACATTGATCCTCCCAGCCCATATCTCTCTCTTATTGATTAGCATCTTCTCTTATTATGGGTTCAGACAGTCCATTCATATCATTTTGTCAAAAACCAATCGAGTCAAACTGACAAAGTAAACCGGTTCAACCAGTAAACCGATTTTTTAAAAATTAGTTACAAAATATTTTTTGCAGCATGGAGCGTCTTCTCATACCACAAAGCCGCCATCACTGGTTGAATAATATACACCATTTGATATATTTATTATATAACTATTAAGTTAAGAGAATTATTTCAAAAATTGCATGTAATGGAGTTCGAACCCCTTCCATTGAGGTTGTGTAACATAACAAATACCACTAAACTACATCAGGTTATTATTTAGATAGCACCATTTAAAATATTTATTATATAATTAAGTATAAAATATAAATTTATATATACATATCCGGTTCATGCGGTTCAACCAGTGACCCACCAGTTGAATCGTTGATCCAGTGATCTGATACCTCGACCGAGTCAATGACCGGTCCGGTTCTAATAAAATTGGATTTAAGTCTAATAACACTGCCCCCTTTACTTGAAATATGTCAATGTATTTAAATTTTAGTTTTTGTTCAATAAGCTTAAGCTTAGCCGAGGATGATCTTCGTGATTGGTGATTCGTGGTGGGGAGATGTGTATTTGGAGGGAGTCTAACACGGTGTATATGGGAACAGAATCAAAGCAGCATTAAAGAAAAAAAGTTTTCAAAAAAAAATATATATAATTGTTGTGCTACCTGTTAGTGGTCAGTCCATGGGGTGGACAAGTCAGGTGGCAACAGGAACAGGTCTCTCTTCCTTCACTTCAACTCTAGATAATATCCAGAATTATGCAATTGTTGTTAGGTATTTAGATGAGGGTATAATAGTGGAATCAAGAAGGATTATCTTTAAGTCATTAGGGCTAACCTATGAGGGAGGTGAATATTGGATAATACAATATAATAGTAAGAAGTGAACCCCATATACACAATATGAGGTTTTGGATTTTCAGCAACAGCTTCATAGGATAGGGATAATATACATGCTAGAATGAAAGGGACATAAGAGGCATAAAAGATAGCAGAGTTATGCTTGGCCATTATTTAGATTTGTCAATGGAAAAGAGTGAATGACAAATTATTTATAGCACTACTCATTTCTTTTTGCATGTAAATATCTCAAATTTTAGTACAATAAATAAAGATTTCATTCCTATTTAATTTCCAATTTACAATCCAATAGTGATTGTTCCTATTTAACTTCTTACTCGTAGATTCATTTTTTATTATGTCTTTTTATAGATTTATTTCTTTCCCTTTTAATTTAATTTATTTAATGTTTTTTTTCTTTTTAAGATTGATTTATTTTTCATTAATGTTACTCTAAATCACAAATGATTTCATTATTCTTTGAATTCATTGTTTTTTTGGAAATATGAATTCATTGTTTTCAATCATACCAAAACGGGAATTTAATCATTTGCCAAAAAAAAGATTCCTATTTACTTTGTCAATATCTAATCTGGTATCTTCCGATTTGAATTAATAAATAAATCATATTTTCCTTCTAAAATAGTTAATTTTCATTAATTGAAAAATTAAATTATTTTTATTTTTGGTACATGATTAAATTCATTTTTTATTATGTCTGTTTATAAAATTATTTCTTACCTTTTAAATTTAAGAAATTCGTTTTTCACGTTTCTAAGATTGACATGTTTTCTTTAACGTTACTCTTATAAATCATAAATGATTTGATAAATGGGTTTATAAGAAAAAAATTGATTTTATATCAATTACAAAATCTTCCAACAGCCTTTAGATTTGAACCCTTGATTTGATTAAGAAACTAATATTGCAAAAGTAACCGAGGAAGAAATTAAGATGGTATTTATTGACACTTACATTGAATTAATTTTATGTTTTTATAAAATTTAAAATAGATGATAATTTTTTTAAGGTACAAGGTTGTGATTATTATTTTACTTGTAAATTTTAAAGAGTTTATCTTTGTATATGAGATATAAGATAGGATATTCTTACTACTACTCTAATTATTATTGAATTAGAGAAAAAGATAAATGAAGGGAGAGAAAAGAAAAACAACCTTTTGAATCCAACAATGATTAGAGTACTAGTGGAGTACAAGTAAAAAATATTAGTAATAAGAATATCCTACATCATGAGATATATAGCATAGAAGCCTATCTAGTTAAATGAGAAATAAATTCAGAACGAAAGAAACCAAAAGTAAATATATGACTAAAATGGAAGACCCAAATCTATGTTAAGACTTTAGAAGATTAAAAACTTTATGGGCAAATAAATCAACTTTTTGCTGATATAAGTTAAAAAACAAATTACAAGAAAATGAGAGGTTTATAAAGATGGAGAATGATCTATTTACAAATTTTTTTAACAAATTACACTAATTAAGTATAATCGGTCATACACTCTTGATTGAATTATGATCAGTCATACTTAGTATAGTTTGTAAGGTTTGTAAACAAAAAGTTTGTAAATATAACTTTTTCCTATAAAGATTAATCAGAAGGTTTTATATTAATTATTGTACTGTCTGGAAAATCTTTTAAATTTTTAAAGTTCTGTAAAGTCAATTAAAATTTTAAAATATTGTTTAATAGAATGTTATAAAAGCTTATGTTAATCGTGATTCATTTGAGTTGGTGCAACTAAAATTATTAAATAGTCTTGATACGTTCCCTTCTGTTTAGATTATATGTTCTTCATTTTTTATTATGTCTTTTTATAGATTTATTTCTTTCCCTTTGAATTTAATTTATTTAATGGTTTTTCCTTTTTAAGATTGATTTATTTTCATTAATGTTACTCTAAATCACAAATGATTTCATTATTCTTTGAATTCATTGTTTTTTGGAAATATGAATTCATTGTTTTTAATCATACGAAAACAGGAATTTAATCATGTACCAAAAATAAAAATAAAAATCACAGATCATTGTTTTTTGGAAATATAAACTTCAATTGTTGCTGAAAATCCAAAACCTCATTAGGTGAATATTGTATTATTGAACACAATTCTCATCCTCTAAATAAAAATAAAACATGTTATCAAACATAATTTTTTTCCCTCAAATAAAAATAGAAAAAAATTATTTTTTTTCAGAAACAGTCACAGTAAACAGAATGGTTGTCAATTGTGATGTACACCATAAAGGTCCTAAACAACTTTTTTATAAATAACAGAGAAGTTTAACTGTTTAAATTTTTTTAATGATAAAATACGAGGGGAAAATAAGTAAATAATGTTTATAAATTAATCCTCAGCCACTTCTTGAATTTGAGATTGAAAGATTAACAAATTATAATAATAAATTTATTATAATTTTAAACTAAATTAAAATTATAAAAATCATGATTTCTAAAACAACATTATTTTGAGCTCAATATAAATAACTCATCTGTATTCACGTGGCAGAAAAAACGAACCATTTCTACTCTTATGTTGCATGAGACTGATATCTTATGTTACTCTCCCATCGAAAAATATGCTTTTTTTTTTCTTTTTTCTAAAAAGTGAGGGGGCTCATTTTATTTATCTGTTAATATCAGAAAACTTCTCTACAGAAGTAATCCCAAAAAATAAATAATGTTTATAAACATCCAACACCTCACACGTCACGTCACGTCTTAACCTCGAGGAGAAAAATAATTTAGTGACAATTGATGATGGCTATCCACAAAAGAGTAACCATCCCCCTCCTCACATATCTCAGAGGAAATACATCTCTAAGCTATCTGTAAAAGAATTCTGTGCCAGTATTTGGGCGATGTGTTCCACAGCCGTTCTAAGAATTTCAGAATGTTTTATCAAGCCTCTGGCATCCACTGCGGAGTCAAACCATATCTGCAATTTAACATCTTGGGATATTGCTATGTTGTCTATGCAATACATCCAGAAGGGTCTCCTCTTCAACAAGCCACACAACCAACAAGATTTCATTGAGAATCTGTTGGATAAGCTCAAGCACTCCCTTTATCTCGCTCTTAACCATTTCTATCCATTGGCCGGTCGCCTTGTTACCCAAAAAACGCAAGACCCTCCCTCTTACGTTGTTTTCGTTGATTGCAGTAACAGTTCTGGAGCTAGATTTATCTATGCAACTTTGGACATGACCATATCCGACATCCTCTCCCCCGTTTACGTTCCACCGATTGTTCAGTCATTGTTTGATCTCGACAGAGCAATCAACCATGATGGTCACACCATGCCCTTGTTAGCCGTCCAAGTTACTGAACTAATTGATGGTGTTTTCGTAGGTTGTTCCATGAACCACACTATTGCTGATGGGACTTCTTTTTGGAATTTCTTCAATGCATGGTCTGAGATCTTTCAAGCCCAAGGGCAGCATGGGGATATTGATGTTCCCATTTCACGCCAACCCATTCACAATCGCTGGTTTCCAGAGGGTTGCGGTCAACTGGTCAATCTTCCTTTCAAACATCATGATGAGTTTATTATAAGATTTGAAGCACCCAAGCTCAGAGAGAGAATCTTCCACTTTTCATCTGAGTCTATAGCAATACTGAAAGCAAAGGCCAACTCAGAGTCCAATAGCACTGAAATCTCTTCATTCCAATCATTATCAGCACATGTTTGGAGATCCATAACTCGCGCGCGTTGCCTACCATATAATCAGAGAACCAGTTGCAATTTGGCCATAAACAATCGATCAAGAATGGAACCGCCTCTGCCTGACGAGTACTTTGGAAACTCAATTAATGTGGTGAATGAAGGGACAACAGCGGGGGAATTGATTGAACATGATCTAGGATGGGCAGCATGGAAGGTGCACCTGGCTGTTGCAAACCATAACGACAAAATGGTGAGACACAAGGTCAAAGAGTGGTTACAATCTCCTCTTGTCTACCAACTTGGTCTGCACTTTGATCCGTTCAGTGTTACCATGTCAAGTTCACCGAGGTTCAACATGTACGGCAATGAATTTGGAATGGGAAAAGCGGTAGCAGTTTTGAGTGGATGTGCCAACAAATTTGATGGGAGCGTGACAGCATACCAAGGATATGAAGGAGGGGGAAGCATAGATTTGGAAGTGTCCCTTTCATCTGATGCAATGAGAGCATTGGAATTGGATAAGGAGTTCATGAAGGCAGTTTCTGTGCCCAATCCCGTGTACTAGTTTGCTAATGTGCCTTAATTTTACTTGACCAAGTTGAACGGGGTCATCCTTAAAATAAGATAATAATAATACATATTCCATTGGATGCAGAAAGCTATTTCAAACAGAATGTAATTCAAGCTTACTCAAAGCTTTTAGTTACTTATATCATTTTTACTATTGGATGAAACATCCCAAGTATTAAGATTTTCTGCCACTGAATTGCAGCTCAAAATTCCACTGCCGTTGGGAACTGGAAATATGTCAATGTATTTTCATCTTCTGTTTTTTAAATTGAGGAGTCTTCGACTACTCAGAATTGGAAAATCACATCCACTGGTTAGTTGACAGCTGTGCAGCCTGTGCTGATAGGATTAGTTAACATGTCTTTCCAATGAACCTCTTTCGGTACAACTCTTATTGCTTTGGCATGTCCCTGTGCCAATAAACCTTTTGTTAAGATATGAGTTCTGGAAAATATATTTCTATTCACTATTTTCACCTCTTAAATGAGGGATATTTATACAAGAGACTCTCAACAACCAAATACATAAAAATAGGAAACTATTCTAACAACTTAACAATAATCCTAATCAACAAATTAATCAGAATAAATTCTGTAACAAACAAATCATTCCTATCTCTAAGTAACTATAATTCAAATTTCTATTTTCAACACTCCCCCTCAAGTTGGTGCATGTATATCTGTCATGCCCAACTTGTCAACGAGTCTATCAAATACTTTTACTGAAACACCTTTTGTTAGCACATCTGCAAGCTGGTCTTCTGATCGAACCTGGGGTATCTGGATCACTTGATTTTCTAAGTTTTCCTTAATGAAGTGTCTATCTACTTCAACATGTTTAGTTCTATCATGTTGAACCGGATTGTGTGCAATTTCCACAGAAGCCTTGTTATCACAAAAGAGCTTCATTGGCTGATTATATTTTATCCCTAAATCAGCAAGTATGCTTCTTATCCAAAGTAGTTTGCAGATGCCATATGACATTCCTCTGAATTCTGCTTCTGCACTGGATCTTGCTACTACCTTCTGCTTCTTGCTCCTCCATGTGACTAGATTCCCTTCTACAAAAGTGAAGTACCCGGAAGTAGACTGCCTAGTAGTTTTATCTCCAACTCAATCAGAGTCTGTATATCCTTCTATGTAAGCCTCCTTATTTTTTGAGAATAGAAGACCTTTTCCTGGTGATCCCTTCAGGTATCTAAGAATACGGTATACTGCCTTCATATGTTCTTCACTAGGAGAGTGCATGAACCTGCTCACTACGCTTACAGAGTAGGCAATGTCAGGTCTAGTGTGTGACAAATATATTAGCTTTCATACTAACCTTTGATATCTGCCTTTATCCGTTTCAACTTGTCCTGGATATATGCCAAGGGAGTGATTCATCTCAATTGGGGTGTCACATGATTTACAAGCCATCATTCCAGTCTCGGATAAGATGTCCAGTGTGTATTTCCTTTGACACATGAATATCTCTTGTTCAGATCTTGCAATTTCTATTCCCAGGAAGTACTTCAGTTGTCCTAGACTCTTCATTTCAAACTCAGCAGCAAGCTTTTTCTCCAATATTTTCATTTCTTCTATATCATCTCCTGTTAGGACCATATCATCTACATAGACAATCAGTATGGAAATTTTACCTTCCTTTTGTTTAATAAACAGTGTATGGTCCGAATTGCTTTGCCTATAGCCAAACTTCTTCATTGCAAGTGTAAGTCTGTCGAACCATGCTCTTGGTGACTGTTTGAGACCATATAAGGCTTTATTTAACTTGCAAACTGTATTTTCTTTTGCCTTCACTCCTGGTGGAACTTCCATGTAGACTTCTTCCTCTAAATTTCGTCAATCAACGGTTAAGATATGATTTTAAAATGTTGTAAACAAAAATAGGTTGTAAGTATAACCTTTCTCTTTTGTATTGACTCTTGTAATTTTGAATATTTGTTAAAAATTCATATGATTTTTTAAAATCTTATAAATTCACATTGTCCTTTCAAATCTTATAAATTCTATTAAAATCCAATCTTATGAAATCTTGATTGTAAAAAAAGTCTTTTAAAAAAGTCTTTAAAGTCTCTTCAATTCTAAAATGTCTTTTAAAATCTGTATGATTTTTTATCTCAAAAAAATCTTTTAAAATTTTAATCCAATACACCCCTCGACTCTAAATTTTGGCTAGCTCTTTGCATCTCCGTTTCACGTCAAGCCAATCAACTTACCATTTTTTTCTTCTTATTTCTTACTAAGGTCCATTTTATATTACTTGTTATTTGGGTTTGGCCCTTTAGATTTTGGCCCATTATGATTTCTAAATTCACTCAATACCGCAACACATTTGTCCAATATAATGGTGGACGTACTCTATATGCAAGTCACCAAGCTCTCAGGAGTCAGGACAATATCTTTGTCCATTGTGTCTTCGTTTTTTTTATTTTTTTACCGAGCACCCCTTGATTATCACTTAGAAGTATATTACACTTGAATCAAAGTGCACAAAAAACATTATAATAGAAAAAATAATATTAATAAGTGTTCGGAGGTGAATATCTATATTGCAACGACACTGACACATTAATTTTAAAATTATATTATATTTCAACATATTAGGATAAGTTTTGATATTAAATAATATTTTTAATATATATAATATAATTTATATTTAATACACATAGCAGTCCATAATATGTCATATAACCAATTAAATATTCAAATTTCATAACATAAATATAAAGCAAAAATAATTTTTCATGTCAAATTCTATAAAAAATATATATCTAATTTATAAATTAATTTTTCATGTTTAGTTAAAAAGATAAAATAAAATAAAATTTGGATCTGAATAAATAAATAAAAAACATGTCGAAAAGCGTTGACCGCGTGTCGAAACATGTCAAAATATGTTGGTGTCTGACAAGCATTTTTCACTCTAGAGAACGTGTCCATACTTTCCAGGTGAATATCAATGTCTAGCTGAATAGCTAGTAATTGTATCTACGGAGCGTATGATAGAAAAGACGGGCAATTGGAAGTCCAATATCTCGGGCCAAAGTCCGATAAATATGCTAGTAAGGGGTGTGTATGAGTCTCCTACTCAATGGATACGATGTGTGTTCTTGGCACAAGTGTGAATATATAAATGGAGTGCACTAGGAGGTTGTGCATATAGTAGATAGTTTTGCAAGTGACTTAGTGGCATAATGCAATGCTTAGTGAGTGATTATATATAGTGAAGAGAAGTTGACAGAAAATAACGGATTAATGCTTAGTGCATATCATTAAGAATTGGTACTTAAAATATGAAACTCTCTTAGAGTATAAATTAATCTTTAAGAATTGACTTTCTTTATTAATTTAAGGGAAAAATAATTTTCTTATTGTAGGAGAAATAATTATCCTATTAGTGAGATATCGAATTATGTGTAACAATTTTTTTTTTAATGGATGATGGGGGCCATGGGGCTCACTATATCCTATGTTTATAGTAATAGAAAAAAATCTCATATTAGATGAGAAAAAAGAGACCCTAAACTTAAAGTCATAATAACTAATACTTTCATTAAAAATTAACTAACATGAAAATGGTGATTCGTAAAGGAACGAACTAAGAAAAAAGGGGAAAGATTTGTTTATAAATTTTTTTGAAATTTTTTATAAATTACACTATGTTCTCTCGGGAGAACATAGTGAAATTAGTGTTCTCCCAGAAGAAAATAGTGTAATTTGTAAGAGTTTGTAAACAAAAAAGTTTGTAAATATAACCTGTCAAAAAAAAACCTAGCTAGTACCTAAAGCGTCCAAAGTGAAAGTTACCGTGACCAAGGAGGTGGATACTGGATTACTTGGAAGTGAAAATGAGATGCAGTATACGCCAACTTGTAAAAGCTTTCGAAGATGTAGCGTTTTTACGTGACATTAAAATTAAAAAATAAAGCTTAATGTGTAAACTAATTTTTTGAAATGGGTTTAAGAGTTGTTTGGAGGAGTTTTTTTTTCTTCAAAGTTATATATATTTTTTAAAAAAAACACTTTTTAAAAAAAAGTGTGGATGTTTTTTTTTTTTTTTAAAATAGAAGTCATAAAAAAAGTCAAAAAATTATTTTTTTTGGAAGCAAAAAATTTCAGTTTAAAAAAAAATAGAAGTCAAAAGTAAAATAATTTAAAAAAAATCAAATATTTTTTTAAAAATCTAAATTATTTTAATTTTTGTAAACAATATTTCTAAAATAAACACGACATAAAAAACACATTTTTTTGAAGCCATCCAAACGGGCAGTAAGTCGTGAGATTTTGAGTCAATATATAATTTATTAACTTATTGTATAGGATATCATCCACAATTTTATATAAATATTTAACGAAAATTTACATTTGAAAAAAATGCAATTTAGAACTATAAATGAAATTATATATATATATATATATATTACAAATTTAGGCATTGTATAAAAATAGTACATTTATTTTTAAAAAATCACTTAACTTAGTTATTATTTTATAAAGTCAAAATAGTAAAAAAATTGGTAGACCGTCAAAATAGTATTAATTACTCTTTAAAAAATTTATCACTGTCCATTGATTTTTTTTTTTAACAATATTTAAATGTTTTGGTGAAAATAATTAAGGGAAACACAAAAATTTCCTTAATTATCTTATAAGAAAAATAAATAATAATATTATGAAATAAAAAAAATTAGTTAAGAACTTAAAAGTAGCACGTGATGTTTGCGGGATAATTTGACATATCCAAGGCATATTTTGTTTGATAAATTTTGGAACCGTTCAACTATATAAATTATGGAAAAATAATTTCTTGCTTTGAGGTAAAAAATATTTCTCTTTTTTTCTCAGTGATAGAGAAATGTTACCTGCCTCCAAAGCAGAAATCATTTCCCCGTAAATTATATGGCTTTTGGTCAACCAAAAGAAATAGAATTCACATTATTTTTGATTAATTTAATATTAAATTTAGCTTATCACCAATCTATTTATAACAAATCAAATAATTTGTGACAAGAATTATAATTATTTGGTAATAAAAAGTAATTAAATGAATTTAGTTTTATTCAATATAACTAATTTGAAATGGCATACATGCATAAAAATGTGTGTAAAATAATTACAACCGTTGTTGTTATAAATAAAATAATAATAATTACAACTGTTGTAAGAAAAAGAAAGAAAAAACTAATTCGAACTAGTAGTAGGGAAATGATAT